CAACCTGGGCGAGTGGGGAGATGCTGGGGGCTTGCGGTTCATCCCTGCGATTTATCCCCACAGGGATGGAGACGTATTCCTCAAAAGTTAGCCAGTGGGGCCTGGAGAGATGGCTCAGTAGTTAAAGCACTGCTTGCTTTTACAAAGGACCTGGGTTTGATGCCCATGTGGTGGTACATGCCTTAATTCTAGCAGGCAAGAGAATTTTGGAAATTTAAGGTCATCTTCAGCTGTAGAGCAGACCACCCCAGGCTACATGAAACCCAGGCTCAAGAAAGAATGAAAAAGGGCCTGGAGCAGTTAAGAGTGCTTGCTGCACTTGCAGAGGACCTGGGTTCGGTTCCCAGAATCCGCAAGCCTCACAGCCAGGTCTAGGAGATCTGATGCCCTCTTCTGGCTTCCGAGGGCACCTTCACACATGGGCATAACTCAAACACAGGCATATAAATAAAATTTAAAGAGAAAGAAAAGCTGAATCTTCCACATGGAGAGTTTTATGTTGGGGACTGTCCTCTTGTGGGACAGGAGCCTGGCTGGCTGGCTCCCTTACCTGGAGCATTTGTGTTTCTCAAGTCGAAGACTGCTTGTCCCGGCCTGTGCCCTAGTGTTGTTGCTCCAGAAAGGGCATGGAAACTTGGCGCACTGTCCCTCATTTCTGTCGGTATCTGCTCCAACAGGATCCACTTCAGTCTGGGTTCCAGGGGCCACCTGGAGTTGAGGATTTCCCCCATAGGGACCTGAATCCTGGAGCCAGCAGCTTTGGCTTGAGCTATGGTGTGTGTGACTGACTGGTGGACCCTGGGTAGAGCAGTGCCACATAGTCGCTCTCACGAACCCACACTACCATGTTAAATGCTGTTGGCTTTCAGAGCCTTCCCCTGAATGCTTGGGCTGGTATGACTCAGTAACCATGGTCATGGTAGCTCGTCCTGGTCTGGAGACACCAGACCAAAGAGTAGAATTTTATTTAATAAGAGGGAGAAGAAGGAATTAAAAATATTTGCTTGTCCAGGTCCTGGGAGATGGGCAGTTGAAGTGGATACTTAGAATGAATTAGCCAAAATTACTTAGAACTAGAATTGCTTAGTTAAAGCCTCATGTTGCATGGCAGTGTGTGGAGGCAAGATGTATTCTCAGTACTTAGGAGGCAGAAGCAGGAGGAGCTCAAATTCAAGGTTGGCTTGAGCTGCATTGTCCCTAAAAACCAAGCACTAAGGCTAGGTGTGGCGGTACACTCATTTAATTCTAGCACTCAGGAAGTTGAGCCAGGTATCTCTCTGAACTCAGGGTCAACCTACATACAGCAAGATCCAGGGTGGTCAAGGCTACATAGTTTCAAAACTACCCTGTTTAAAAGTGCACTTGTGTACACACACACACACACACACACACACACACACACACACACACACACAATGGATATACTTAGGAGTGTAATCCCATGGGAACACTTGCCTGGCATGCCCAAGACCCTTCGTTTGAACACCAGTATCACAAAACAAAATCCCCAAACTAAACTTACTGCCGCTCCCTGCCCCATGCATCGAGTGTGTCAACACGTGTATGAGCACACACCCTTGCACACAGACTGGCTGGGTCTAGAGCTCAGGGAGCAACCAGAGGGTGGGTATCAGTCCAAGGTTGCGTATGAGGCACAGCTAGGTGCCAGGCTGGAGCAGGTGTGGAAGTCAGCCTTTTCCTAAGAGGCTGGGCTACACATGCAGTTCTAAGTGTCTGTTAAAGAGCCGAAAGCTATGGCTTGGAGAATGCCTTATGGGGTATTCACAGCTCCAGCTTTCTGGGGTTTCTGCCCAGTGGGGGAGATGGCTCTGTCTGCATGTTGTTGCTAAGGAACTTCTTGGGTCGCTTGTGCCCACAAGCAAAGTCCTACCTGGACAGTGTTTCCTTTTGGATGTTCCATGGTGTATGTGGAGTTAGCATATATGATTCCACTCATGCCTTGTACAGCCTGGGTGGTAGCCTGGTGTCTTTATTGTATAGTAAGGAAAAGGGTGCAGAGGGCTACACTGAGGCAGCACCCCAAATTTTAACAGGACAGACAGGGTCATTTTGTGTCAGGAAGGCTGCCGTTTTGAGTGGATTGCTGTGATACAGTGCCCCTCTGAGGCCCGGTGACAAAAGAGAGTGCAGCTTTAGGAGACTCAGGACCTGTGAGTCACCAGAGAAGGCCTTTCTCAGACCACAGGACTGAGGGCACCCTCAAGGTGGTGGTGAGGGACAAAGCGTGCCTCCTTGAGATAGGCCTCTGAAAGCCCTCCATCAGCGCTGTATCTCACTGTTGGTTTTTTAAGACAGGGTTTCTCTGTGTAGCCCAGGCTGGCCTGGAATTCACTCTGTAGATCAGGCTGGCCTGGAACTCACAGAGATCCACCTGCCTCTGCCTTCCATAGTGCTGGGACTAAAGGCGTGTGCCACCATGGCCTGGCCGTATCCCATGTTTTACCATCTGCACAAACAGAGCTTTCTAAAAGCCCCTAGAGTCTGGCATTGCTGCCAGGAACTCTCTGATTCCCTGAAACATCAATGGAGCAATGTCTACCACAAGACATGCAGGTTGGCAGCCTGGGCACATTCCCATTGCCGTCTGAGTAAATGTGGGGGCCACTGAGCAGGGGCTTGGAGAAGCCTGGAGGCTCCTTTTTGCTGGTTTTTTGAAACACAAAAGTCTGTCCCAGCCAAGCACTAACCAGGACCTGCTGTGAGCTGACGTCAGGGCAGAGGCCCCTGGGGGGCTGACTTGGATGTTTCTCAGGCCATGTCATGGGGATGTGGGATGGGGGCACTCTGAGTGGCAGTCTGGGAATGCTAGAGCAGCTTAGGCCTGGCCCCAGGAGAGGATGTGGAGAGCAAGGTAGGGACACAGGGGTGGTGTCCCTGTGAGTTACACAGACTCCTCAGATTTCTGCTGCAGGTGGTCTGTGGTTCCCACACCCCCAGGGCCTATTCCCTCACCCACCCACCATCTGGTTGTCCTCTGCTCTCTGGTGATGTCTCCTCTGTCCAGGCTTTGGGCATCCTTGGCTTGGGGAGAGTTTCTAATGCTCTGAGACACTAATATTTCTTTTTGGGGGGAGGGGTTGAGACAGGGATTCTCTGTGTAGCTTTGTAGACCAGGCTGACCTCCAACTCACAGAGCTCTGCCTGCCTCTGCCTCACTAGTGCTAGGATGAAAGGCATGCACCACTGCTACCTGGATGACACTAATTTTCTTAAGGTCAATCAGTATTTCTTGATTGTCTTTGTGTGCCTGGTGTCGTCTGTGCGAGGGATATCTGCCACACTACCTGACTGGGGAATCTGACTCTCTCTGAGAGGATCAGGTATTTCCAAGGCAGGGCTGGGAAGAGCATGGAATAAGGAATTGGCTTCTTTGAGTTATAGGCTTGGCTTTCAACATGTGAGTTATCTGATCCTTCATATTTCTGGGCCCGAGTTTACTGTTCTGTGTAACAAAGGAGTTGTACCATGATGCCTAGCAGGGGCAGGACCACACCCTGTGGAGTATTTAGACATGTATAGAGGCGTGTCTGGGTTGACATGGTAACTGGGGGTGCTCAGCAGTGCCTGAAGGTGTATTTGTTAACTGGCACAGTGGGAAGGATCACCCTGCTTGCTGCAGAATTGTCTTGCCCAGAGAACCAGCAGGGCCCCATTGAGAAGGAATGGGTGTTTTGGGACACTTCCAGCTCCCTGGATGCTTTGTGTCAGGAGATGTAGGCCTTTGCAGGGATTGAGAGATGGACTGCTACCAGACTAGCCCCTCATCTGGACCCAGCCCTGTTGGATCCTAGGACTTATGTAGACCTTGACTCTGTGAGAAGACAGAGCCTCATGCTTGGAAGAACCAGACCTCACCTCCCCAGGGTCCTCAGAGAGTGCTGGCTAAACTGTGATTAATTCCCAGTGACTTGAAAAGTGACCCTGTTAGTGTCTCTCTGCCCATATATGGCTCTTACCCTGCTTCTTCCAGGTGGCTGGGAACATTTCTTCCATGTTCAAGCCCAGTGACTCCAGGACTCGGCAAGGAACCCACATGGGCAGGAACAAAGCCCTGCATGTTCCTCCCGTGTTCCTCTGACACTTCTGTGCCATGCCACCCATGTGTCCAGCCCTGCCCTCCATCTCTCCGGCCCCTCTGCTCAGCGCGGGTGTTTTGATCTCCCTTGTTCCCCTGGTTCTGACTTTGGTTGTTGGGTCCCTCCATCTTCATAATTGTCCCCTAGTTGTGACCAAAGCCGAGTGACCACATGAGGAAGGCGAATGGCTTTACATAAAATCTCTGGCTTTGACCATGGCTGGGTCCTTGGAGCTAGAACAGAGGACATTAGGATGACCTTTGTGTGTCTTGGCTACAGCTTGTGTCTAGAGAATTTTGGCTTCTCCAGTAAAAGGAAGGTGTCTCCCCAAGCTCCCCCTAAGGATTCAGGACTGCATGGCATCTGTGGGTAGGCCCCAAAGCTTATCTGATCTCTGTTGCTGGTACTCTCGGGTGTTTCAGGCTTAAGTCGCTGTCTTTCCAAAGGTCAAGATTGACCTTTCTTCTGTGCCTTTATTCTGGGACGGTTGGGTCACTTGTAATGTTCCCTGTTCTTCAACATAGCATCAAGACCTAGGATCTGGTCCTGTAGTCTGGGGCCCTTCGCTTTGGGAAGCCTGATGCCATCAGCTCCCACCCAGACCTCAGGACTCCCTTCCTTATCTGCCCACACCATCTCCTTGGCATTTACATGGCCACAGTCATGGCTCCAGTGTTTGTTCTGTGTATCCTCAGAACTCAAGGCCCCTTGATCGGAGCATGGCTCATCTTTGGATCCTGTAGAGCGTCTAGCACAATTTGAGTTCCTTAGTGGATTTTTGGCATCTCTAGTATTGTCCTTCATCCCTGTGTTTGTTGGCCAGCTGTGTCCATAGCCCTTTTCCTGTTAGGATGGAGATGTCAGCTTCTCCTGACCCTGCTTCTCCCATGTCTCTATCTTCAGGTGCCCAGGCAACAATTGTCTTCATCAAGGAGCCATCTTCCCAGGATGCACTGCAAGGGCGCCGGGCACTGCTCCGTTGTGAAGTTGAGGCCCCGGGCCCAGTACAGGTGTACTGGCTGCTCAATGGAGTGCCTGTCCAGGACACCGAGCGACGTTTTGCCCAGGGCAGCAGCCTGAGCTTTGCAGCTGTGGATCGGCTTCAAGATTCTGGTGCTTTCCAGTGTGTGGCTCGGGATAATATCACTGGAGAGGAAGCCCGAAGTGCCAATGCCTCCTTCAACATCAAATGTGAGAGCCTGTTTGGAGGGAGGGAGACTACTGTGTCTCGTTCATCCGTCACTCAGCAACTGAGTCCAGGGAGCCTTCTGCTTCAGTTTATCCTATTGCCAGTTCAGTGGGACAGAGTTCAGTTGTGGGTAGTGCTTGTGAGGATGAGAGGGACTTAGAAGGCTCCTCCCTCCAGCCTTCCTTCCCTCCCTCCATCTTTCCATTTTCTGCCTCCCCACCCTGTGGTCTCCCCTCCATCCTTCCATCCCCTCTGCTCCTCTCCACCCTCTCAGCTCCTCTCTTCCCCTTTCATTGCTGTGTATTGGATCCAGGGACCTGTACATGCTGAGCACACACTATTACCACAGACAAAAATTGCTCATTTTCCTAATCTCCCACCAACACTTTTAAGTCTCTGTTGTATTTATCTGCCAGAGGCTTTCATGAATGTCCTTGGCACGTATTAGGTCTGACCTGCTGGAGACAGCGCCTGTGTTCTGTGTCTGTGCCATGGCCTCAGCTGTAGTTTCACAGAGCTCGTCTGCATGGACAGCTCCAGAGCCTGTGGGCTCCATGGCGTCCTCCTTCCCTCCACATTCCCACTTTGCTCTGCTCTCACTGCAACTGTGGCCTCTGCTCCAGGGATCGAGGCAGGACCTGTGGCCCTGAAGCATCCAGCGTCAGAAGCTGAGATCCAGCCGCAGACCCAGGTCACCCTTCGCTGTCACATTGATGGGCACCCTCGGTAAGGAGCCAAGGAGAGTGGATGGAGTCAGGTAGAGATGTGACCCCAAGTCCTAGAATCTGCATATGTACTTTGCTTTATGTTGTAGCCACTCTCCTAACCCGAAGCGCTCCTCACCCCTCCTTAAGTGCTCCCACCAGCCTCCAGTGGCTGGAGAAGGGTCAACAGTCCATGGGATGACCCTGGATTCTTAGAATTGACAGATGTGGAATCTCTCTGCTTCTGTCTTCTCTGAACTAATGTTTGCCCTAATGCAGACAACTCCCTTCCTCGGGCCCCCATTCCTCCACTTGTAAACTGGGATGCCCAGTTAGACTTTTGATTCTGTGTCCCCCTTTCCCTGCTTATGACCCCCACTCCCATGCATAGGCCTTCCTACCAGTGGTTCCGAGATGGGGTCCCCCTCTCTGATGATCAGAACACCCACACAGTCAGCAGCAAGGAGAGGAACCTGACCCTGCGGCCGGCCAGTCCTGAGCATAGTGGCCTCTACTCCTGCTGCGCCCACAATGCCTTTGGCCAGGCCTGTAGCAGCCAGAACTTTACTCTGAGCATTGCAGGTGAGCCTGTCATGGGGATAGAGGAGGGAAGCAAAGTGGGGTGGGGCTCACTGCCCTGCCTGCCTGCTCACCCCTGCATGCTTCCCTGCCACAGACGAAAGCTTTGCCAGGGTGGTGTTGGCGCCTCAGGATGTTGTTGTAGCGAGGAATGAGGAGGCCATGTTCCACTGCCAGTTCTCAGCCCAGCCACCCCCGAGCCTCCAGTGGGTCTTTGAGGATGAGACGCCCATCACTAACCGCAGCCGGTAAGGATGTGATTCAGTTCAAGTCAGACACCAGACTTTCTGCTGTGAACTTGATTTCTCCAGATTTCCAGCAGATGGCAGTAGAATGTTGTAGTGTCTCTGAAAGAGTACAACTAAGGGAAGTCACTGAGAAGTGACTTACGTGATCTAGCTATGATTGTTCTAAAATTCCCTCTGTTCTTGCCCACATGGGTCATCTGGGATGGAGAGTAAGAAGTACACAGGTGTAAACCCTGTGCCCCATCTGCAGCCTCCCCACTCTTATGACCCTTCATGCCTTGTGGTGTTCAGTGATTGGAGAATATTGACACAGGCTAAAAGTCATGTAAACATTCAGCACGCTGTTTTAGAAGAAACTGGAAATAAAGTTAGGACTAGAGTTGTAAAAATAGCTAAGAAAGTTAGAATACAGGGGTGGCTGTTGGGCTATGGTCACAGTCTAAATAGAAAGGTCCAAGATGGTACTGACACCCAAACCACACACACACATTTTAGGTGGAAGCAGGTGCTGAATGCTCTGGGGAGGGTTTGCCCCTCTCTCAGGATGCTTGTGCAGACTCTAGGAGAGGAAAGAATGCCTTTGTGGTACTGGTCACTGGGGCACGGCTCCCTAGGCTAGGGGCTTGTCCTAAGGACATCATCAGGCCATTTAATGTGAGGCTGAGAGGCTCTTGTCCTTGAAGCTGGGGTGCCTGTGGAAAGGTGTTCCTACTACCCTGACTTTCATCTACCTGGCCTTTGCCTCTCCCTCCTTTTCCAAAGTTGACTTCCTTGCAGTTGGGAAACACAGCTGCAAACTGATGACACTGGTGCTGATAATCCCACCATTCAAGAGGCTGAGGCAGGATGGGAAATTGGAGGTCAGGGCTGAGGAGGTGACTTAGTGGGTAAAATGATTGCTGAGCAAGCATGAGACTTGCATTCAGATCCTCATGGCCTATGTAAGAATGCTGAGCATGGCGGTGTGCATATGACCCCAGTGCTGAAGGGCAGAGACAGGTTGCTCTGGGGCTCGCTGGCCAGCAGTCTGGCTAAAATGGTAAGCTCCAGATTAAGTGAGACCCTACTCTCGTAGAGCAGGATGAAGATTGACAGCCCCTGACATCAGCCTCTGGTCTGCACATATACACACATGGGTGTGAGCATACCACACACACACACACATACACACACACGCACGCACGCACGCACGCACGCAGTAGCATCACATATATTTTGAGGCCACTCTGGGTGAGGTCAAGGCCAGCCTGGGTGAGGTGATATAGTAAGTTTGAAGCTATCCCGGAGAATCCATGTTTGATTCTCAGCTCACAGCTACCTGTGACTCCAGTTCTAGGGGATCTGATTCTCTCTGCAGGCACCGAGCACGCATGTGGTGTACAGACAGACATGTAGGCAAAACATTGGTACACATAAAAGAGAAAAAAATCTGTGCTGTGCACTGTGATGCCACATGCCTTTAATCCCAGCACTCAGGAGGCAGAGGCCTGCAGATCCCTGAGTTTGAGGCCAGCCTGGTCTACAGAGTAAGTTCCAGGATAGCCAGGGCTACACAGTGAGAGACCCTGTCTTACAAAATAAAACAAACAAACAAACAAAAAAAGAATAAAAGAAAAGGGCTGACAAATTTGATAGCACACACCAGAATTCAGAAGGCAGAGGCAGGAGGATCTGTGTGAGTTCTAGGCCAGCTTGGTTTACATAGAGAATTACAGGCTAGCCAGGGGAATACAGTGAAGTCCTGCTTGGGAAAAGGAAAAGACAGGCTGGAGAGGTGGCTCAGTTATTGAGAGCACTGGCTGCTCTTGCAGAGCATCTGGATTTGGCTCTCAGCACGTACATGGCGCCATAGCTGTCTGTAGCTCCAGCTCCAGCTCTCTGACGCCCCCTGCTGGCAGTAAGCACGCGCATGGTGCAAGTACATGCACACATAAAATAAATTTTAAAATAGGAAGAGGTAAGTAGGTACCTGTACAGACACACAAACAAGCGCGTACACATAGGCACCCTGCCTACAACACAGACCCTCACAACCTGAGATTCTATTGCGTCTGTTACATAAGGAGACCTAAGACCACTTCTTTCAGACAGTGCTCTCTTCCCTCCGCAGTCCCCCTCACCTCCGCAGAGCTGTGGTGTTTGCCAATGGCTCTCTGCTGCTGACACAGGTCCGGCCACGAAATGCAGGAGTCTACCATTGCATTGGCCAGGGGCAGAGGGGCCCACCCATCGTCCTGAAAGCCACGCTGCACCTGGCAGGTGGGTCTGTGCTGTTGAGGTAGGCACTGTATCTGATGTTGGTAGCTCTTGGAGATATGGGACCCTTGTTTGGTTTAGCAGCTTAGAGGGCAGAGAGAGGAAGAGGATGCTGGGCTAAAAGCGGGGATGCAGAGGAGGAATTGTGGCTGGAGGGAGCCTGGGATGCTTATTGTGAAGCTCTACATACCTAGATGACCAAGTCAGTCAAGCAGTTTACCATCTCTTCCTGTCCTTGCAGAGATTGAAGACATGTTGCCATTTGAACCACGGGTGTTCACGGCTGGTGGCGAGGAGCGTGTTGCCTGCCCAGCCCCCCAGGGTCTGCCTACACCCAGTGTATGGTGGGAACATTCCGGAGTCCGGCTTCCTGCCCATGGCAGTGTCTACCAGAAGGGTCATGAGCTCGTGTTTACTGCTATTGCTGAGAGTGATGCTGGTGTCTACACCTGCCATGCAGCCAACCTTGCTGGTCAGCGGCGACAAGATGTCAACATCACTGTGGCCAGTGAGTACTCTTTCCCTGGAGGGTGAGGAGATCTGTGTAGTAGCCTAGGAGTTCTTGGGATATGGGTGTAATGGATAGAGGTTTCCCTGGTGTACACTTGAGGTTCTTTCTGGGTTCTGGGCTCCTGGGAGTGTTGGTCATCTGACAGTATTGAGCCAGACACAGAGGTAGAGGTGGTACACCCGAGGAAGTAAACATAGCCCTTCCAGGAAAAGTAGTCCTCCAACCACAGAGGGAGAACACTGTATGGGAGTCTGGAGACCTGGGTCCCATTCTGCACATAATGCACAGTGTAACTTCTGGGGTCATGTTCCCTGAGCTGCAGGGATCTGTCCCGTCATCCATAACAAGGGCTTAAAGCAAGATAGTTGGAAAGATCAAATGTTATAAGTAAAAAAGATAGTGCTTTTTTTCTCTCTGTCTGTAGGTGGGGGTGGCATGGGAGGTGTGTTCACCTGTGTGTATGGAAGCCAGAGGTCAATGTTGGGTGCCTTTTTCTCACTGACCACCATTAGACATGGCTTCTCACTGTCCACCGTTAGACATGGCCTCTCACTGTCCACCGTTAGACGTGGGCCTCTCACTGTCCACCGTTAGATGTGGCCTCTCACTGTCCACCGGTTAGATGTGGGCCTCTCACTGTCCACCGTTAGATGTGGCCTCTCACTGTCCACCGTTAGACGTGGCCTCTCACTGTCCACCATTAGATGTGGCCTCTCACTGAGCCCAGAACTTGCTGTTGGCTCTAAACTGGCTTGCCCATCAGGTTCCAGGGACCCTTCTGTCTTTGCTGCCCAGTTCTGGGGTTACAGATGTGTGCCACTGCACTTAGGTCTCACATGGGTCCTGTAACTCCAAAGTAGGTCCCCATGCTTATGTAGCACTCACTTTACTCACTGAGCCATCTCTCTAGCTTCTTTCTTTTTCTCTTTGAGAAGTAACAGTGCTCAGATGATTGTTTTGTTTTAGTTCATTGTACTTTGCAGGCTTTTTAAAGAAACAGGCTGGAGGGATGGCTCAGTGGTAAAGAGCACTGTTGCTCTCGCAGAGGACCCAGCTTCAGTTCCCAGTGCTCATGTGGTGGCTCCCAGCCATCTGTAACTCTAGTTCCAGGGATTTGATGGCTTCCTTAACCTCCACAGGCACCAGACATGTGGTCCACATACACACCTGAAGGCAAAACATTGCTGTAGGTAATTAAAAATAAATACAGCTGGGCGGTGGTGGGCACTCCTTTAATTCCAGCACTCGGGAGGCAGAGGCAGGCGGATCTCTGTGAGTTTGAGGCCAGCCTGGTCTATAGAGCTATACAGAGAAACCCTGTCTCAAAATTAAAAAAAATAAATAAATACATCCTAACATTTTTTTAAAAAAATAATTCATTTTTGTGATTCTTCCCATAAAGATAATGAAATTGGGTAGGGGTGTACCTCAGTTGGCAGAGTCCTCGTCTGCCATGCACAAAGCCCTGAGTTTGCTCCTCAGTGCCATATAAGCTGGGAATGGTGGCAGGAGGTAAGAGTCAGGAGGATCCGTGTTCTAGGACACCCTCAGCTATAGGAAACCTGTTTCAAAATAAAAAATCCTGACGTCTCAGAGGACATCATTTGCACTTGGACACCTGGCTCAGGTGAGAGCCTCAGTGTCCTGAAGACTGATGCAGAGGCTGCCTTTGTAGTGACATGCAGACAAGTGAGGGCTGTGCTACTAGCTGTCACCAGGGTCTGTGAGGGTCTGCTTTGTTCGGGGTACTTTGGGGTCTTCAGACTCAGGGCCTTGTGTTTATGCAGGTTCAGTTTGGGAACTGCTGGCCTTGGTTGGTCACTTGACGGAACGGTGGAGCTGTACTGGATGCGCTCTGAAGAGACCTGTGAAATTCAGAGTAGTACATGATGCAAGCTGTGCTGGGTCAGGCATGGCGATGGAGAGTCAAAGGGGGTTTTATCCGGGGACTTGGTTCAGTCAGCAGAGGCTTGTTAAGTGGCCCCTTTATGCTAGGGCACAGTTCCCAGTTCTGGGAATTCAGCATTAAACAAAGCACACATACATCCCATGTAGCTTCTTTTAACAGGAGACACAAAGCAAATGTGAGAATTTTAATAACTTTGTTTTATTTTATGTGGGGGTGTTCTGCCTGAATGTGTGTCTTTGTACCGCATGCATGCCTGGTGTCCACAGAGACCAGAAGGGAGCATTGGACCCCCTCCATATGAGTTACCACTGGTTGTGAGCCGACACACAGTGCTGGGAACTGAACCTAGGTCCTCTACAAGAGCAACGAGTGCTCTTAATTGCTGAGATATCCTCTCCAGACCCCTAAATATATAATTTAAGTCGCAGTACAACTACAACAGGGTACATGATGAGATAGAAGGGATGGATGGATGGGGGCGCGCTCTGTGGAAGGTGGCATTTGAGCTGGTACTTAAACTACTTAAAAGGAACTTAAAGGAAGAATCATGGCCAGAAATAGGTATGTGAATTGGGAGCCAGCAGGAGGCTGTGGGGCTTCAGTGAGAGTGGCTGAGGTTGTCTGAGATGTAAGAACACAGTGAGGACTTCAGCCCGTATTCATGTGTGCCATTTACCCACACCTCATAACAAGTGGTTCTTAACCCTGGTGGCTTGGAGCAGCCGTTAATGTGCTTATATTTTGTGGGAGTCACCTCTGAGGGAGAGCCCATGAGCTCCACGGGGCTGTTGGAGGGGAGTAAGTCAGCTCACAGGCAGTGGCTGGCTGGTCTCTGATAGTCCCACATTTCTAGCTAGGCCAAGTTTCCTCACATAGAAACTGGATTCCATGAGGGCAAAAGTGTATTCTAGAAGGCGAGGCGGGTCCCAGACCACCCAGTTTCCAGGAAGTAGAGAGATAGACTGCTTCTTGATGGAGAACGTGTGGCCATGACGTTAAAAAGAGATGAAAGGGGCTAGGAGAACTGCCTGCTGCTGCTGTTATAAACACTGCCTCACCAGGGCAGATAGGAAGTCCTTCAGGCCTCTAAGTGGAAGACTGTCAGTTCTGAGGAGACTGGAAGGTTAGGGGCGAGAATATAAACAGGGCTGCTCAGGTGGTGGGGTGGATGCTTGCCCCCAACTCTGACAACCTGAGTTCAGTCCTTGGGACCCACAGGGTGAAAGGAGAGATTGGCTCCAACCAGTTGTCTTTGACGGCCACACATGCGCTGTGCAGCCCTAGCTAGCCTTGGACTCACTACGTAGACCAGACTGGCCTTGTACTTGTAGAGATCTGACTGCTTCTGCTAGGCCTGTTGGCGCATGCCTTTAATCCTAGCCCTTGGAAGTCAGAGGAAGGTGGATCTCTGTGAGTTCAAGGCCAGCCTGGTCACACAGAGTTCCAAGATAGCCAGGGCTACAAAGTGAGACCCTGTCTCTAAACAAGCAAATAAATGAGCGTGTAAGTCATGAGAGCAATTACTAGATGCCTGTGGTAGATGCCCAGGGAGCTATTGAATGAGCCTGAACAAGAGGTGGTAATGGTGGAGAGATGAGAATTGATCAAAGTCAGGTCCAGTTTCAGAGCTGGGTGTAGAATAAAAGTGATGGCTTCAGGGTCAGTAAGTCAAGACTGGACCTGTGGCTTCTACATTTGGCTGGAAAACAATATTCTGTCTTGAAATAGAGTGTGCTAGGATAAACAGTGTTTGGAGGGAAATGAGTGCAGTTTTCTTTTTCTTTTGGAGACAGGGTTTCTCTGTATAGGCCATGCTGTTCTAGAACTTACTCTGTAGCCCAGGTTGTCCTCAGACTCACAGAGATCCTCCTGCCTCAGCCTTCCTAGTGCTGGGATTAAAGGTGTGCGTCACCAACGCCCGGCAAGTATGGCTTTCTATTCATGTGAAGGATGGGTGCCTCCAGCTGTCCATTTGGAAACACTTGGCACACTTGGCTTGCTGTGGGAGATGCCATGAATCAGGGTATAGGGTTGGAGTTGTCTCTTCATATGGTAGGGGTTAGTATCTAGAGAGGTAATACAGCTAAAACACACAGTTCTGAGGACCAGGCATCAGGCACATGGTGACAAACGATTGAGGAGTTAGGTATAAAGAGGAAGGATTTATGTTCGGTTCATGGTTTCAAAGGTTTTTCTCTGTGGTCTGTTGGGCCCATGGCTTTGGGCCTAAGGAAGGCAGAATATTAGGGTGTCAGCAGCCTGAGTTAGAGGTTGCTCATCTCACAGTGGCCAGGAAGCAGAGATGGGTTCTAGGAGGAAGGGTTTGGGAATAAGACATGCCCTTCAAAGATATACGTGACTTGAAGGTAGACCCTTAGTGACTAGTTCCTCCACCTAGGCCCCAGCTCCTCTGCCATCATCCAGAATAGTGCCACCAGCTGGGGACCAAGCCTTCAACACATAAGCCTATGGGGGGCATTTCATATTCAGACTACAACACTAATTATGACCCGGTATGATGTCATGTGAAGAAGAACCAGGATGCTGGGGGTCCCTTTTAAAAAAAAATAATTTGTTTTTATTTTATGTGTAAGCGTGGTACTCCCATCTGTATGTCTACACACTATATGCATGCCTGGGATCTGTGAAGGCCAGAAGAGGGTGCTGTACCCCCTGGAACTGGAGCTGCCACATGGATGCTGGGAAAGGAATGGTAGAGCCTTACAAACCTCAGCTGCAGATAGATCCTCTGTGCCTTGTGGTAGCAATCGATGTTACTACTGGAACTTCTGTTTTCCTAGCTGGTCCATGGGTAGAGGAATACACCTGGGGTGTTTATTATGGACTAAATGAAGATGTTGGAAAGCATTGGCACCCAGGCCATTGGGTGTCACCAGGGCAATCTGGCGGTTCTGAACTCAGGACCACTGGTGTCTTAGTGTCTTCTGTGATTGGGTCCTTTGGTTTCGGAAACCTGTTATTTAGCTTCTAGTGGTTTCTCTTTGCTACTCTAGCTGTACCCACATGGCTAAAGAAGCCCCAAGACAGCCAACTGGAGGAGGGTAAACCCGGCTATTTGCACTGTCTGACACAGGCCACACCTAAGCCCACTGTCATCTGGTACAGGAACCAAATGCTTATCTCAGAGGTGAGAAGGGATGGCTCTGGTGAATGGGAGAGTTTCCTTCTACAGTGTGTGCCCTAGAGCTTTCATACCCTGAGGCTGCCCTCAGGGAAATGTGCATGTAGCTGTTAGTATTATCCCTTTTCTACTCAAGTCTGTGTCCTGCAGGACTCACGGTTCGAAGTTTCTAAGAATGGGACCTTACGCATCAATAGTGTGGAGGTGTATGATGGGACCTTGTACCGCTGTGTGAGCAGCACCCCAGCCGGCAGCATCGAGGCCCAGGCCCGTGTCCAGGTGCTGGGTGAGTTGGCATGTGTGGTGTGTTGGGAGAGAATACGTGGCCTGCCTGGGCAGAGGAGTGATGGGAAAGGAGCTGCAGGGATGGCCCTGGCCTCTCTCCTTGTCTCAGTTCCTCCTCTTCTTCCTCACTGAACCAGAAAAACTCAAGTTCACACCCCCGCCGCAGCCACAGCAGTGCATGGAGTTTGATAAGGAGGCCACGGTGCCCTGCTCAGCCACTGGCCGAGAGAAGCCCACAATTAAGTGGGTACGGGCAGGTGGGTACCATGCGACAGACTAGGGCAGGCAACTTGTCGTATGTGAATGCCTAAGGGACAGGAGTGCCCAGCCTGCACCTGGAACTGTGGGGAGAAACATGGACTCTTTGACAAACGTTGTTGGGGGTGTGTGTGGATCAATTCTACCATCTGCCATCCTTATGTCTGTCTTTTTCTATGAATCTTTTACTCTTGCATAATAATTTTATTGCATATACAGCTTTTATGTTTTACATTTCCTGAGTGAAGACACGCTTATTTTGTTTGCTTATTGTTTGTTTGAAGTAGTGGAGAAGTGGGGGATGAACCTACGACCGCAAGTTTGCTAGGCTAACTGTCCCATTGAGCTATGTCCCAGCCATTTTTTTTTTTTTAAGATTTATTTATTATGTATACAGTATTCGGTCTGCATGTATGCCTCCAGGCCAGAGAGGACACGAGATCTCATTGTGGATGGTTGTGAGCTGGGAATTGAACTCGGGACCTCTGGAAGAGTAGTCAGTGCTCTTAACCTCTGAGCCATCTCTCCAGCCCCCATCCCGACCATTTTTAAAACTTTTTTAAATCTAATTAATTAGTTTAGTTTGTTTGTTATAGTAAGGTCTTTCTGTATAGTCTTAGCTGGCTTGGAACTCACTGTTCTGCCCAGGCTGACCTTGAACTTAAGAGTCATTTTGCCTCAGCCTCTCAAGTTCTGTGATAATAGGCACCTGACTTTTTTGTTTTTCAGTTTTGAGACAGAGTCTTACTATGTAGACCAGGCTGTCTCCAAACTCTCCAGGGTCCACCTGCCTCTGCTTCCTGGGTGCTGGGATCAAGTACATGTATTACCACATCTGGAGCTCATATGGCTTTTGTTATTTTATTTTTACTGCACACTATGTGAGTGCAGTACCTGCAGAGGCCAGAAGAGGGCACTAGATCCATTGGGACTCAAGTTATAGAAGCTCGTGAGCCACCATGTCATGCTAAGACTCGAACCTGAGGCCTGGAAGAGCGCTCATGCTCTTTAACATCTCTTCAGCTCCCCTACTTTTTTTATTTTTATTTTTTGAAGCAAGTTCTCACTGTGTATCCCTGACTGACATGGAACTTGCTGTCCTTGTAAATCAGACTGTCCTCAAACATAGATCCTCCTGCCTCAGCCTCCTGAGTTCTGGGATTAAAGTGTGTCACCACACCCAGCACTTATGTAATTTTTAATTTAACATCATTAGTGTTTCTCCATGTCTTTATATATTGTACATAATATAGTTCTCAACTGTTATGATAATAATCTCATTATTGGATTAGTTATCATTTATACGAATATTCTCTATGTGTTAGAGACTTGGAATGTTACCCCAATCCAGTTTATTAGAGTAGTCTTATTGTTGTAATAAATCTCTAATCCCAAGGTTATTGGGGCTTATTTTTCTGGATTCAGGTTTGTTTATTTTGGGAAAGAAACCCAGAAGTGGGATATATATATATATATATATATATATATATATATATATATACCTATGGTATGAAAAATTTTATAACCAACTGTACAACTTGCCAAATGGTTTCTTACAAGACTGGACCAGTTTCACAGTTTGTACCAGCTGTGAGAATGAAAGTCGGGTTCATTTGGGTCTGGGATCTTTGTGGAAGAACTGAGAGAGTCCAGATGCGTCTAGGATGGGCATCAGGAGCAAGCTGGCTCAGGAGTGAGGCCTGACAGGCAGTGAGATGGGGACAAGGCCAGTCCTTGGCCCGGTCAGAAGTCTAGCTTGGCACAAGTGAAGCACAAGTTCACCTATACAGGAGGTGAGGCTGGAAATTTGGGGAAAGCAAATAACAGGGGACTTTGAGTTTGGACTTTGCCTGTGAGTAGGAAAGAACTTGTTTGGTGTAGACATGAGTAACCAAGGGCCTTATCAGCCATCCCATAATTTCTCCTGATGGTCTCTGCAGATGGGAGCAGCCTCCCTGAATGGGTGACAGACAACGCTGGGACCCTACACTTTGCCCGAGTGACCCGAGACGATGCTGGCAACTACACTTGCATCGCATCCAATGAGCCACAGGGCCAGATCCGTGCCCATGTCCAACTGACTGTGGCAGGTGTGACTGTGGTAGAGCATGGGAGCCAGAGTTGGCAGGGCCTGGGGAATAACAGCTTACACTCGGACAACTCCATGATGCTCTCTGGTCTCTCCCTATCCAGTTTTCATCACCTTCAAGGTGGAACCAGAGCGTACAACCGTGTACCAAGGCCACACAGCGTTGCTGCGGTGTGAGGCCCAGGGTGACCCCAAGCCTCTTATTCAGTGGAAAGGCAAAGACCGAATCCTGGACCCCACCAAGCTGGGACCCAGGTAGGCGGCCTCCTTTGTACACTGACTTTACCTTTCCTACAATGGTTGCCCTTGGGGCTGGCCAGGTGAGCATGCTGTGGCTTCTCTCATAACAGGATGCACATCTTCCAGAACGGCTCCCTGGTGATCCATGATGTTGCCCCCGAGGACTCGGGCTCCTACACTTGCATTGCTGGCAACAGCTGTAACATCAGACACACCGAGGCCCCGCTCTTTGTCGTGGGTATGAGCCAGGGAAGGGTGCCCTACGCAGGAAGTAGAATTCTTTCTCATCTTGCATGTAGTGTTACTGTCTACAGAGAAGACATGGGGGACTTGGGGGGACTTGGGTGTCCTTTCCAGTATCCTGTCCCAGTCCTGGATTCCTGGCTGGTCTGTCACTCACTTGACATTCCGTCACCGAGATTTTTGTATTTGTGTTGGCTGGAGGATACTCTTTTCCTAAAATGTCTCCTTCTCTTATACTCTTAGAAAAGACTTGTTTTGGCTCACACTCTCAGAGGCATCAGCCTAGTGCTGCTGAGGGCCCTGTAACTTTGAGTCTGTGGCAAGAGCATGCGGCAGACGACGTCTTGTTTATCATATGTTGCTTAGGAGGCAAAAAGAGAAAGGAGTGGTCTAGGCCTCAATTTCCTCTTCAAGGGCACCCCTCCCCCATGGCCTAGCTTTCCTCTACTAGGTCCCACCACTTCCACATAGCATCATAAGCTGGGGAATAAGGCTTCAACACATGGCCATTTGGGAGGAGGGAAGCGCTTAAGATCCAAGCTAGAGAGATGTCTTCGAGGTTAAGAGCACTTACTGTTCTGTCAGAGGACCCAAGCTCTATTCTTAGCACCCATCATCAGGTGCAGCACCCATCATCAGGTGGCTCACAGCTGCTGGTACCTCCAGCTGCAGATGACCCAACGCCTCTGGGTATGATGAACAGAGGCACACACCTGCACATAGACAGACAGACAGACAGACAGACAGACAGACAGACAGACAGACAGACACACACACACACACACACACACACACACACTTAAAAGTAATTTTAAAAAAAATGTCTAGGCCAGGCAATGGTGGTGCATGCCTTTAATCCCAGTACTCGGGAGGCAGAGGCAGGCGGATCTCTGTGAGTTCGAGGCCAGCCTGGTCTCCAGAGGGAGTACCAGGATAGGCTCCAAAGCTACACAGAAAAATCCTGTCTTGAAAAACCAAAAAAAAAAAAAAAAAGTCTAAACTTATAAACCAGGCATGGCAGTTCATTCCTAAACCCTGGATCTTGAAGGTTACCACAGGAGGACTGTCATAAGTTCAAGCCTAGTCAGGGCTACATAGTGAATTCCAAGATAGCATGGCCTACAGAGTGAGACATTGCCTCAGACCAAAGAAAAGAAACAAAACTCCAAACTATTGCAAGTGGGGAGGGAATCAGGTCAGGATGCAAAAGAACTGGAGAAGATGTGACAGGTTAACAGCCCCAGGCCAGACCTGCCCTAGTGCTCTCTGTCCCTTTGAGAAGTTGTCACTGTGGCTGAGGGTTAGGGGATTTTTTTTTTTTTTTTTTTTTTTTTTTTTTGTTTTTGTTTTTGGTTTTTCGAGACAGGGTTTCTCTGTGTAGCTTTGGAGCCTATCCTGGAACTAGCTCTTGTAGACCAGGCTGGTCTCGAACTCACAGAGATCCGCCTGCCTCTGCCTCCCGAGTGCTGGGATTAAAGGCATGCGCCACCAACGCCTGGCTGGGTTAGGGGATTTTAAAAGGAAAGAAAATTCACAACTTTTCTATTCGCAGAAATGTTTCCCTAGTAACGATCTTGTAGAAAGTGGAGTGTGGGACCTCCTGGTTGAAGTTGCTGAGGTGGGACATGGGTGTCCTGCATGTTCTCAATCTTTACCTCAAAGTTCACCTGATGAGTCATGGGACGTCTTTCTCCTGGGCCATTGAAAGACTGGCCACACAGGAACCTCCTCTGAGCTGGGTGATAACTGGGATTCTAAGCTAGGGGCTTCCCAGTGCCCCTCTGCAGGGTTATTAGCTCATGGTATCGAGTCAGCCAGTGAAGGAAGGGGTGTTCCTTAGGTCTCCATGGTATGTGTATGGGGTGGGGCATTGGGTGGAGAAGCAGGGTGTGGTTTGCTTGAGTAGCCCCTATCCTGACCTCCCTATGTGTCTCTCAGACAAGCCTGTGATGGAGGACTCCGAGGGCCCAGGCAGCCCACCCCCATACAAGATGATTCAGACCATCGGGCTGTCGGTGGGCGCAGCTGTAGCTTATATCATCGCTGTACTCGGCCTCATGTTCTACTGCAAGAAGCGTTGTAAAGCCAAGAGGTTGCAGAAACAGCCTGAAGGCGAGGAGCCAGAGATGGAGTGTCTCAATGGTAAGGTCCTCCTCTAGGGAGAGGTGGGTCAGCATGGGTGCAGAGTGCCCTCCGGTGGCAGCTGTGGAGGAAGAGCTCCAGGGAGCTGGAGTTGGCTGCCTCTCCTCTGGCCCCAAGCCTGGAGTCACCCCTTCTCAGGACTTTGGCTTCTAAACTGCTTGGCTCAGGACTACCTCATTGGAGTCTCTTGGGCCAGCCTTCTCTCCCAACACTAAAGCACAGATACAGTTGGTATGCATATAGTTGCTTCTGTTACGTATCTCTTCTCCTCAGGAGTCAGCCCCAGGGGCAATCTGTCCATCTTTTTCCTAGCCCCTCCCATCACTAGAAGCTCCCTGAGGGCATTGCTGGGTCTCTACTCAGTAGACATTCAGGAACAGCACTTGGCTCTACTTGGTGAATTTCCCTGTTTGCATACAAGGTCCAGTGAAAACCAGCTGGTGTGGGTGTGACATTCAGGGCCAGTGATTGAGATTAGATTCCTACAGCAAGCTCATGTCATAGCTCCTAACCACCTGCATCAATTAAGTGGTCACACTCTAAGGCCTTCCCCACGCTGCCCCAAAGCCCCATGAGTTTGTCTGTGGGAATAGCCACTTTTTGTGGAATGAATCGAGTGGGGGGGTGGGGGGTGG